GAATTATTGATCGGCTGCTTCCTGCACGCTCCTCACTGGGGACTGAGCCCACAACCCAGGCATGTGCCCTGACCAGGAATCACACTGTGACCTCTTCGTTCATAGGTGGACTCTCAAACACTGAGCTATGCTGGCCGGGCTTAATTTTCTTCTATTAATCTGTTGTATGTCATTCAATCAGCCAGAAGAACAAAGAGGGGAGGCGAAAGTTCCCTCATTCCTGATACTAATCACCTCTATCCCAATTAAGACTTCTTAGCAAAGCCACAGGTCTGTTGACCACAGAAACAGAGTTCCAGTCACGCTAAAGAAAACATCTTGACTTCAGTTGTGTTTCAACCCAGGCCGACAAAAGTGGGTAGTGACGAGGAGGGGAGGACAGGACAAACATGAACAGTCTTGTTTTGTGGAAAGATGCAAGCAGGAAAGCTGGAGACCCTTTGCAAAGTTCCTGGGACTGGCTGGGGTAAGAAATAGTCTTTCTGATGGGCATTTCCTCTCCCAAATGCTCCTTCAGACACAGCGGACTATCTACTAGCCTCATGCAGGCAGGCCTATGTGCAGGGACAGAGCAGCTTTGGCAGTGACTGTCCAGCTCCACCCACATGTAGTCAGGGGCGATCTCTTTTGGGCCTCCCAGGAAGATAAGCTGTCTCCTTTGTGTTCTGCCTCTTCCAGTTCAACAATGTTGAAGTTAGGGTTTCTGATTATTATATAAGGGATGATTATATTAAGGGGTCATGACCCATCAGAATGAAAGCAAGTGTCCTACAGTCCTTGTGGCAATGGGCAATCCTGTTTGAGTTATGGCTGTCCTCCCCCAACTGCTGATGATGGGTGGATTTGAGGATATAGACTTTGAAGCTTCTGAGGTTCAAGTGGAAATCTTGGGAAAAGAAGAGCCTTTTGCCCTTCTAGTGACTTGAAGGCCTCATGGCAGAAACCACAGCAGAATTAAAAGGCTGAACATCTCTACTAAGGACTTTATGTGACACATTTCTCCAAAAAGTAAAAGTAGTAAGAAAAGATACAATTTTTCTGCAAAATAAGAGGGTGATTTCTAAGGCCCCCTTCTTCTTCTTCTTCTTCTTCTTCTTCTTCTTCTTCTTCTTCTTCTTAATTTTTATTGATTTTTTACAGAGAGGAAGAGAGAGGGATAGAGAGTTAGAAACACTGATGAGAGAGAATCATCGATCAGCTGCATCTTGCACACTTCCTACTGGGGATGTGCCTGCAACCAAGGTGCGTGTCCTTGACCGGAATTGAACCCGGAACCTTCCAGTCTGCAGGCTCTATCCACTGAGCCAAACCGGTTTCGGCATAAGGCCCCCTTCTTGACCTGATGGTTAGTCATGGCTGCCAGTAAATGACAATTACTCAAGAGGAGGAGGCCTCTGGAAGTTGGTTGAGGTTCTACTGTCCTGGGGGCTTTCTTGCCTGTCTGGTAGGACCCTCCCTGCCAGCTGGCTCTACACCGATTCTGTAAATCTCTGCTTTGTCTTTCTCCTAGGGAGCCCCGCTCTGTACTCTGTACCCCAAAGCCTGGTGCTTTTGCACTGACTCCTCAGAGAAGTCACAAGAAATACTTTGCTTCTTTAATTTGAGGTATTGCTGCCATTATCAGTTTATTGAAGTCCTTTGATGAAAGCTTGTATTGTTCTTGTACCCAGAACCTTTTTCAAATGATCACCATATTAAAAAACACAATAAGTCCAACCCCCCTTCCCCAACATACATGATCAATGTTCCCCAGACATATAGGTACATTAGTGAGGAGAGTCTGGAATTGGTGGCAGTGTTGCAGAATTTGCCAGGCGACCAGAAAACACACAACGAGTACTCAGAAGATTCAGGAAAAAAACCCTTTATTTGCAGATGTACCAGTACGGTGACTCAGGAGAGTCAGTTTCCAAAGCCTGAGTACTGAATGTGGAGGGTCTCTCCCACTTATCCTCTTGGTTTCTTTGTCTCCCCAAATTTCCCCCCTCAGATTGCCCCCTATATTCCTCCTCAACAACAGAGCAAGATTTGGTCCTGATTTTCCCATTTAGGGCTGATGGCCTTGGGCAAATTATTTATTCATTTATTCATTCAGAATTTATTCATAATCTCCTTGAGTCAGTCATTCATATAATCTCTGTAAAATGCTAACAATACCCTCACTACTACCTTTAGGACTGTTTAGAGAAGCTAATAAAATCATGCTCTGAAGTGTTCAAGGTAAACTCTACACAAATGGATGTTGGTATTAATCAGGCAAACAGATAAAAACAGAATTGGAGGGGTGAGGGATGAGAACCCAAACCATAGCACTTGATATACCACTTCTATGAGAAAGACACCTCTTCTGGGCTCTTGGGTTGTGCCCTGCACTCAAAGTATCTTTTCGTCTCTGTCCTTGGACACCCTGCTCTTCCTCCAAGGCCCCGGTCAAAAGCCTCCTTTTCCCATAAAGTCCTTCTTGCACCTGGGGATTAATTTCTCCCTCCTACAAGTCCCTCCTCTGCCTCAGTGATCACCATGTTCCACCCGTGAACTATTGCACTTTGTTTCCATATTGATCCCTGTTACTAGACAGACAATGTTATTCTTGAGGGAGGTAACTGTGTTCTCTTCCAGGAACCCTCCCTCTGCCCCTTTAGCTCACATGACCTTGATCTTATGTGCTGTCTTCTCCAAGCTTCAGTTTCTGCCTCTGTAAAACTTGACCACCTTTTAAAATATATATATTTTTTCTTGCCGAAACCGGTTTGGCTCAGTGGATAGATCGCCGATCTGGGGACTGAAAGGTCCCAAGTTTAATTCCAGTCAAGGGCATGTATCTTGGTTGCGGGCACACCCCCAGTGGGGGGCGTGCAGGAGGCAGCTGGTTGATGTTTCTCTCTCATCGATGTTTCTAACTCTCTATTCCGCTTTCTTCCTCTCTCTTCCGAAGGCTGACGCTCTATCCACTGAGCCAAACCAGTTTCGGTGAGAAACATCGATGTGAGAGAGACACATTCATTAATTTCCTCCTGCCTGCCCCCTGACCTGGGTAGGGGATCAAGTTCGTAACCAAGGTTCGTGCTCTTGACTGGGAATCGAACCCGAGACCCTTCGGTCTGTGAGCCAACGGTCTAACAACTGAGCCGCCAGCCAGTCTGTGGGCCCTTAAAAAAAAAAAAAAAAAAAAAAAATATATATATATATATATATACACACACACACACACACACACACACACACACACACACACATTGATTTCAGAGAGGGAAGAAGAGGGAGAGAGAGATAGAAGCATCAATGATGAGAGAGAATCATTGATTGGTTGTCTCCTGCACGACCTCCACTGTGGATCAAGCCCGAAACCTGGGCATGTGCCCTTGGCTGTAATCAAACTTGGGACCCTTCAGTCCGCAGGCCAATGCTCTTTCCACGGAGCCAAACCAGCTAAGGTCAACCCTCCCATCTTGAGGTTGGTTCCTCTGGCAACCAGGCCCCATCCTGAAGTTATCTAGGGGTCCACCAAGAATCACCTCATTACCATCAATTCGGGTTGAAAGGAGTCTCTTAATAACTGAAGCACCTCCTATCACTCAGGACATTCTAAGGGTTGTCCTCCGGGCCAGGAACTGAGGACAAAGACCCCCTGGTGTTCTTACTTAAATACCGGAGTTTTCAGAGCTGAGGAGGGGAAGGAAGAGGTCAGCGGATGTTCTCTATAAACTTGGTGTTTCAACTGCTCTGAAGCTTTTACAAGTCCTTGAGTCCTTTCTTCCAAATGACAGTCTTCCTTTGGACTGTGTCCAACCTGCCACCCAAAAGGAAGGTCCCTGGGGCTGCAGGCACTGCCCTTCTTTCCCAATGCTTCTCCTTCTCTCTTCTCTTTGAGCAGTCCTCAGTTTTAGCCCCTCCCCCTCCCAGAGCCCCCCCTGCCTCCGGGTGTGGTCTGCCTGGGGTTTGTCACTCCCTTTCCTCTCCCAGGTGTCAGTGGGCCATTAGGAGCCTAGGTGAGCATGTCAGACCTGTTTGCCCCTTAGTGCCTAAAAAATGAAGCCCACACTCCTGACACTCACATTTGGCTTTCCCTGTCTTTCCCCTCTGCTGCCCCGCCTTGCCCCTCAGTTGTCACCCTCCAAACATCTCAGGGCTTTTCCACCTCGTTCCCTTTTCTCCAGTGTCAACTCCTCTGCACACGTGTTCTTTCAGTCACACCTGTTTACCCAACGTGTCCTGTCTGCCAGGCCCCGTGCCGGACGCCAAGAGGACCACGAGGAAAGATGGCATAACTCTTCCTCCTCATAAACAACTGTCGTCAGGTTTCAGGTCCTCCCCGAGGCACACCCCAATTGCCCTCCCCGAGGCACTCCCCAATTGTCCTCTTCCCAACCTCTTGTCTGCTTGGCAGCCGGCACCACTTCCTTGTTTTGACATCCTTCCAGGTGTGTATGTCTCCCCAGCTAGAGGTCTAGATGTCCTTCCTCCATTACTTCCCTGTGCGGAGGGCCTGCCCCAGAGCAGAACAACACAGTCCAGCCCCTCCCCTACGGTCTGGTGTGTCAGATGGATAGGAAAGAAGAACGTGCATGGCAGGTGTTGTGAAGGAACAAACTGGCATGATGGGCAGTGGGCCTGCTGGTGCAGATGGCATATCTGAGGGGCCCTTTGCCCCTCCCGCCCTGGAGGTCCCACAAGGTGGGTGTTGTGTCATACAGACTGCTCTTTTCATTGAAAACAAAAAACAAAAAACAAACGACCAACCAATCCATTCTTGTTGAAAATTTTAAAACTGTCTTGCCAAAACCGGTTTGGCTCAGTGGATAGAGCATCAGCCTGCAGACTGAAGGATCTCAGGTTCAATTCCGGTCAAGGGCATGTACCTTGGTTGCAGGCACATCCCCTGTAGGGTGTGTGCAGGAGGCATCTGGTCAATGTCTCTCTCTCTCATTGATGTTTCTAGCTCTCTATCTCTCTCCCTTCCTCTCTGTAAAAAAATCAATAAAATATATTTTAAAAAATAATAAAATAATAAAACTGTCTTTTGCTTTTATTTCCAGTTTTTATTAGAGGTTGGACTTTTAATATAGAAGCAGTATTAGTAGGATCATCTGATTGAAAGAGGGACTTGGAGCCCAAGATAGGGGAGCCTCAATTATCCATCCCAGAGGATGGAGGGAGCTGAGGGAGGCGCCTCTCCCCTCCCCTTCGGCCACCAAATGGCTCCACGTTCATGACATCCTTCTGCTCTGTTCTGTTCTGGTTCCACATGAACTTGTTGCTCTGGGAAAATGAATCCACTGAGATGGCAATGCCCCTGTACTTGACAGGTATGTCTGTGTCTGTGGGAAGTGCTGGCCTGGAGTGTCACCATCAGAATAATGGACCTGTTTCTAGAGCATTCTCTCTGAGCCCAGAATTGCACCGAGAGCTTTACACACATGACTCATTTCACCCTCAGCTCTCACGAGAGCCTGCGAGGTCAGCTGCAATTGACAGGCCAGGACGCTGAGGCTCGGTGAGGTTATGGAACTGAGGGAGAACTGGATCCAAATTCAGACCGGTCAGATTCCAGAGCCGACGAGCATGCCGCCTCAGAATACTTCTGGATGGCCTTCCATATGAGGATGTAACTGAATCCTGTGGACTAATGCTCTGAGCAGAGCAAGTAATGTTAACTCTGGAAGTGGTGACGTGTCTAAGGTTACAAGGCCATCTCAGTGTAGAGGTTCATTCCTGTCCCCAACCCCAATTCCATTGCCCGGTTGAGGTGCTGGGAGATCTAGTGAGTGCTGGTGATGCTGGGAGGGGGTGGTTATGCCAAGAAAGGGCTAGCCCAGTTTTGACCAATTTGATATGGAAAAGAAGAGGTGGCTCAGAGCCCAAAGATGAGGGTCTGCCTCTCGGACACCCTTCTTCCCCATTTTCCTCATTTAAAGAGTGATTCTAATAACAGTGCCTTCCTTATAGGGGCCACTGGTGGGAATAACCTGCTTGGTCAGGAGGGAACAGACTACAGAAAGAGACAAAGCAAGGCCAGTGCCATTCTGATGCTACTGCTCAGGTCACCATTTCTAACAGGCACCTGCTGCAGGCTCAGACCCATTTCAGGTGGTGCATCACGAGCCAACAATAATGCCGACAGGCCTGGCCTTGGCCTCCAGGGCTTAGAGCAGCAGTTGAGAGGAGAACGACCAATATGATCCAGTCGTAACACTGCAGAGAGGCTAATGGGTGGACATATCTGTAGGATAGTGTCTGTGAGGAGAGGAAACTTAATAGAAATTTCTATAGAGGCAGCGGGATGGAGGGGGATGGTGAGGGTGGTGGTGATGTGGGTGGTGTCAGGCCTGGGCTGATTTTATGGAGGTGGGGTTTCAGGAGCAGGGAGAGATGCACAGGAGATTCTAGGAGACAAATCCAAGGCAACAGAAGGAACTGCCCAGCCCTTCTACTCCTACAGGGGGTAGAGGAAAGCAATTGCCCTTTTTAGCAATCTAAATATGGCAGTAATAGGGGTAATAATTAGGATATCAAATGCACCATCCTCTAGCAATATCTACAGTGCATTCACTATAGGGAATTGACTTATTGGCATTAAACAGGAACAGTCAAGATGGTACATCAGTAGTCAGGGTCCTATATCAGTATCTCCATAGCATTGACAAAATAAGACTGACAGGAATTGTTTTAAAATTTAATGTATTAGTCCACATTCATTTATTCATTTCAAGACCCACAGCTATGATCTGAATAGTTATTTTCTTTTCTTTTCTGTTTACCCTGAAAGAGCCTGGGCTCTTGTGACCACTCACAAGCTCTCAAATGCCTTGAGGACTAAAGTAGCAGGGAAATAAATCCTATATAACAAAAGACTAATATGCAAGTTAACCGAACGACCAGTGCTATGACCAGCACTGACCACCAGGGGGCAGTGCTCAACACAGGAGCTGCCCCCTGGTGGTCAGTGCACTCCCACAGGGGGAGCACTTCACAGCCACAGAAGCTGGGCTCAGGGCTGGTGGATGCAGCAGCAGCTGTGGGAGCCTCTCCCGCCTCCGTGGCAGTGCTAAGGATGTCTGACTGCTGGCTTAGGAAGCAGGTCTACACTCCTACGCCTTCAGTCAGACATCCCCTCGAGGGCTCCTATACTGTCAGAGGGTGAATCTTGGGCACTGGGCCTCTAGTAAATAAATAAATTAACAAATGAGTGAGATAATCTACATAGACAAAATGTTTATCTGGCACCCAGTATGTTCTCAGTTAATTTCAAGGAGGCAGTTGGTGACAGTGGTTGAGACAGCAGGTTCTGGAGTTGGGCTGTGTGAGAGTCCAGTCTTGCCACTTATGTGTGACCTTGGGCAAGTCCCTTTACCACTCTGTGCTGCAGTTTCCATCTTTGTCACCATTGGCTAGTCATAACACCACATTCATAAGGTTGTGAAGATTAAATGAATGAATCCATTGAAATGCATAGTTCAGTGCCTGGCATATAGTAGGCATTCAATGAAAATTAGCTATTATTATAAAATTATTTTATCAATTTATTCATTTAGTTCGTGATGGAAAACTCTTCGGTGTACAGGCAGTCGGAATAAATAAGTGATCTGGGGGAGCTTAAGGGCTTGGTCTAAAGGGGAGACTGATACTAATGGTAATATGGGGCCAGAACTGTGTTTTCATAATCTCCTCCTAGGGATTGTCACACTAGGTCCCAGCACAGCTCCATTTTTCTTCTCAAATCCTTGTTTATTTATTTCTCAAAATCCTGCTTTTAGGGAGCTCAGCCTCTTGGCCATATCTTGGGTAATGTGGTTTGTTCTCAGCACCTCTTCTAGCTTCCAGGTGGCCTGTGCCCACTACACCTTCCCTCCGGGTCCCGGGTCCCTCACGTTTCTTCCATCTCAGATCTCGACAATTCCTATTGTGCGCCAGTGCGTCACCCTTCCCTGGGAGAACTGCAAGTCAGAGGAGTGACTCTGGGCTCTGCAGAGGAGCGCAGAGGTGGAATTTGGGGTGTCTGCACCGCGCCTAGGGGTGGGCGGAGCGGATCTCCCTGGCGCACCCTGTATCGCCGGCAGGTGGCGCTCTATCTGTGAGGCCTGCGAGGTTCCCGTCCAGAAACTTGAACGGGATGTTGACGGCTCTGCGTGAGCAGAGTATATAGCCGAGTATCCCCAAGCCGACGTGGGCATCCTCGAAAAAGTGGGGGGAGAAAGCTGCTTCCTGTTGGAGTTACTCAAGCTTTCAGACACCACGAGCTTCACTCAGGAAGGCTTCAGAAGCGGTGAGTACGGAGCCGCGCTCGGGAAAGGTAGCGCTGCCCTTTTCTTAGGGTATTGCCCATCGTTTGTACTGGCTGGTTTTCCGAACCTCCAAGAAAAGATTTCTGGAACGGAGCTGCCTAATCAGGTGGAGGGAATTGCGGGGGGGAAAATCCCGGGAAGCCGCCGCCTGCGCACCCGCCCGGCTCTCTGCAGCGGGAGGAGCGCGCGCTCCTGCCCGCCAGATGGCGCTGTCTGGCTCTCCTTCGGCTTTCCGCTCCGGCCCCTGGAGATTCCCGCCGGAGCGGCCGCTCTAGCCGACCCCGCGGGCTCTGTGGTTCCGGGCGGAAGTGAGGCGCCGAGCCCAACGGCCTCTGGTGACATTTTCTCCGGGCGGCGCGGACGAGTGCTGGGGCTAGGTGGCGGCGGACCCTGCGGAGGCGGCGAGGTTCCCTGTGGCCCCGGCGGGGCTCTGACTGCAACTCTCCGCTCGCCGCCGGGGCCTGTGCTGAGGAGCAGAAGGCGGCGGCGGCCGTCGCGGCCCGAGTCACCGCGGCCCGGAGAGCCCCGGCCGGGTCGGTGCGTGCCCCGACGGGGCGCGCGGGGCGGGCGAGGAGGTGCGGCGCCGCCGCGGAGCGCAGGTGAGGCGGGAAGGGGCGCAGGGCGGCGGCCGGGCAGGGGGCCGCGCGGGTGCGGGCTCTGCGGCGCCCGCCGGGCTGGTGACGGGCCCGCAGGCGGACGCCGGGTGTTCGCGCCTGGACTCGGCGGCGGACTCGGCCCGGGTAGGAAGACAGACGCGAGGGCTTGCTCGCTCGTTCGCCCGTCGCTGGTGACCCTCTTGTCCTCCGGATCGACCGAGTTGGCGGGACGAGCCTCCCTCCCGTTGCCGGGACCGCTCGGGGCCCGGCCGAGGCGCATCCCTTCCCCGGGGGCTGATCGGAGGCTGGGGGCGCCGCGGTCCGGGGCCCGCGCGGCGGAGCGACTTTACGGCCCTTGGAGTTGCCTTCACGCAACTTTCCGGCGCCCCGGCGGGCGGGCGGGCGGGGGAGCGGCGGCGGCTCTGCCGGCTCTGCGGCCCCGGCCCCGGCCCCGGCCCCGGAGAACCCGCAGCCCGCGCGCCGCGGCTGCGGCGGCCTCGGAGGGAGGGAGGGCTCCCGGGCTCGGCGCCGCCTGCCTCCGGGCGCTTGCTTTCTGTCGGCAGACGCCTCCGGTCCGCGGGAGGGATGCGTCAGCCTCCCCCAAATGGATTTCTTCTGGTGAGTTTGTCGGCGTTATATTTAGAAAACCGGCGACGATGTAAAGCGACGAGCCCCAAGTTAAAGATCGCCGTCTTCTCTGACTTCCCAGGGCGTTCTCTTCTTTCCCCCCAGTAACGCTGCGTCCGTTATTTCTCATGACACCGACCGGCCTCAGTGCATGGTCGGAGCAGCAGCCCTCCCTGTCCCCCCAAAGAACCAGCTGCCCGTCCTTCGCCCTCTCCGCGGTCACAGGATGCATGCTCTCTGGTCGGAGGAGTGAACGCCTGTGCTTGTCCTCCCAGATGGAACAGCTTGAGCAGTTTATCCTTGGATGTGCTTTTTGCTCTCTTGCTTGAACTTTTCTCTTTCTGAATGCTTCCATCCAGTCGGATGAAAATTCCACTGACGATGCTGTGTCAAGGTTGGCCCACTTAATTACAAGTACCTCTGGCAGCTTTGCTCAGGCTGTTATTGCGTGGTGTCATGAGGCACATGCTAACAGTTTGAATCACTCCCTTCTCCTGGGATATTTAAGGATGGTTATTAACTTTCTAATGTAGTTTTGCTGATCCTGGCAATCTGGATTCTCCCAGTGAAGAGCATTTTGCCTTTTGGCTTAACGGTCATTAGTAGAGGCTTACAATTGATAACGGTAGTTGTTACCCGAAGTCCCGAGAAGTCACAACACGAACTTTTTGTTGTTGTTTTTATAGGAAGTGTTAATATTTTGGCAGAGTGACCTGGCCAATACGATGTCTAGTTGAGTGCTTTATGCTCAGTAAATATAAAATTACGAACTAAGTTTGAGTTCAGGAAACCAATGAAATTTACTGTGATAATCTGTATGTTACTTTAAAAAGAGCTTAAGTGAAATTTCTTGTAGTTCCATGAAATGAGAAATAAAAATATTTTTAGACATTTCAAAGTTAGATTCCTTTTCACTACTATAATCTTAAAACTTAAAATCGCACCCTTTTCATAATGTAAATATTATAGATGTAAACTTCAAAATAGGTGTTTACAATTAGAAAGGAAAGGGACATGGTAATTATACCTAGAGCATCAGCTAAATACGATTTCTTAGTGGGAAAAATATTTTTTTCCTGACTTTTTTTTTTAAAATATATATTTTATTGATTTTTTACAGAGAGGAAGGGAGAGAGATAGAGAGCTAGAAACGTCGATGAGAGAGAAACATCGACCAGCTGCCTCCTGCACACCCCCTACTGGGGATGTGCCCACAACCCAGGTACATGCCCTTGACGGGAATCGAACCTGGGATCTTTCAGTCCGCAGACCGACGCTCTACCACTGAGCCAAACCGGTTTCGGCTTTTCCTGACATCTTTTAGTGAAAAATGGGAAGAACTGGATTTTGGAGCTGGAAACTTTCTCAATATTAATTAGCTTCAAATTCACAGTGTAGCTCTTAATATTACTAATTCATATTAATCTTAAATGCATTTATTTTGTCACATGTTGTTTTATATGATGATTTATCCAAGACTGATATATTAAAGATAAACTAAACCCTAAACTAAGCTTTAGGGTTGTTTTTTTTTTTAAAATATATTTTTTATTGATCTCAGAGAGGAAGAGAGAGATAGAAACATCAGTGATGAGAGAGAATCATTGATCGGCTACCTCCTGCCCCCACACTGGGGATCAAGCCCACAACCTGGACATGTGCCCTGACCAGGAATTGAACTGTAACCTGGTTCATACATAGGTCAACACTCAACCACTGAGCTACACCAGAGTGCTAAGCTTCAAGTTTTCATTTAATGCAGTTTTCTTAGAACTGAGTGCACGTATATCCTTTAAAGGTTTCTTTCTTTTTCTTTTTTTGGTTAATCCTCACCCGAGGATACTTTTTTGTTGATTTTTAGGGAAAGTGGAAGAGAGAGGGAAAGACAGAGAAGTATTGATATGAAACACATCAATTGGTTGCCTCCTGCACTGGGTGGGCTGGGAGGAGCCTGCAACCAAGGTACTTGCACTTGACCATAATGAAACCAAGGAAGTTTGGTCCGCAGGCCAACGCTCTATCCACTGAGCCAAATCTGCTAAGGCAAAGGTTTCTATTTTCATAAGTGACATTGGTAGCTTAAGTCTCCCAACTATATGACTAGTAACTTCTGGGAGGTTGTGTAGTCATTATTCAGGGAGATGTTTTGCTGGGATCTTCGATTTTATGGTTTTGAATAGACTTGATATATGGGCAATTAAGATGTTTTTGCTTTTTGTCTTTAAAGTTTGGAATTGGTATATGCCAGAGATCTAAACCCTATGTTTGTAACTTTGGTAAACCACTTTAGAATTTTCTAATTTTTCTGCATCTAACTAGGGACACGTTTACTGAATTGACAATACTTGAGAAAACCTGCAACAGATGAAAAAATGTACAATGGTATATTTTCTTTTGAACCATACTGATTTCAGTATTCTCTTATTTAGGAAAGAGTTGGGGGCCAAATTAGTTTCTTGGGTAGCTATAATTAAACAGTAAAAATGGAATAGGTACATTAATAACCGAGGAGAAAGCTATGAGACTATAGAAAATGGAAAGAGCTATTGAGAAAACTTTGAGAAAATACAGACGACAAGACATTCAGATGGCACCTCTTTATTCTTACAGTACTAACTTATTAACTATTTACTGTGTGCCAGTAGTACTCTAGTTACCAGAACTATAGTGATGAATAAGACTGATAGGATCCTGTTGTTATAGGAACTTACATATTTAAACCTGAGGTTTGAAGTAGATTTCACGTGTGCATTCCAGGCTAAAGAACAGCAGTCATGTTGAGTATTAATGATCTTGAATGGTTAAGTGTGTCCAAGTGCCATGAGTTTACCGAAGGATAGGTAGGGTAAAAGGAGATAGGGCCAGGTTGTGAAAATAACAGTACCTTCGTCTGCTAATGAGTTATTATTTCTTTGGGGGGGGGGGGGCTACCGAACTCAGGTGGAACATAAAAGATGAGATAGGCATTCCTGTTGAAAGATTTTTTTTTCTTTTTTTTAAAAAAATATATTTTATTGGTTTTGTACAGAGAGGAAGGGAGAGAGATAGTTAGAAACATGGATGAGAGAGAGTCATCGATCAGCCGCCTCTTGCACACCCCCTACTAAGGATATGCCCGCAACCAAGGTACATGCCCTTGACCGGAATCGAACCCGGGACCCTTCAATCCCCAAGCCGACGCTTGATCCATTGAGCCAAACCGGTTTCGGCAAAGATTTTTCTTTTTTAGTGAATTTCTTAAAAAAAAAAAAAAAAAAAAATATATATATATATATATATATATATATATATATATATTAAGTTGATTTTTTACAGAGAGGAAAAGAGAGAGGGACAGAGCTCTATCCGCCGAGCCAAACCAGTTAGAGCAAAAGGCTTTTTCTTTAGCCTTCATTTCAGTGAGTAGACATTTTATGGTTTTATTTTCTTATTTTGGGTTGATTCTTTCATAGTTATTTTTTAGTTGTCAAATATCTGTCAAATTAAAATTTGACTGTTGTCACAACTTTTTTTTTAATATATATTTTATTGATTTTTTACAGAGAGGAAGGGAGAAAGGTAGAGAGCTAGAAACATCAATGAGAGAGAAACATCGATCAGCTGCCTCCTGCATACCCCTTACCGGTGATGTACCCGCAACCAATGTACATGCCCTTGACCAGAATTGAACCCGGGACCTTTCAGTCTGCAGTCCACTGAGGCAAACCAGTTTTGGCAACACAGAACTTTCCTAAATCCTTAGCCATTATCTTTAATTTTGCCTACTTTCCCCTACTCTTTAAGGACTCATGATTGTATTTAAGGGAAGTACAATAACCAGTGTTCCAGCTTCTGTGTGGGCTGTTTTTCTCAGTACAAGTGGGATTGATGTTCATTTAGTCAGTTTTCACACTCGGCCTACATGTCCTGTGGTAAAAGAAGGAGCAGGGTGAAACTAAAAAGTATCTTGCTTTTCCTGGCCAGTGTGGTTCAATTGGTTGGAGTATCTTCCCATACACCAAAAAAGGTTGTAGATTGGATTATCAGTCAGGGCACATACCTAGGTTGTAGGTTTGAACAACTCCTCCTCCTTCCTCCATCCTTCTCCTCCTTTTCCTCCTCTTCCTCCTCCTCTTCCTCTTCCCTTCTTCCTCCTCCCTCCTCCCTCCTCTTTCCTTTCTCCTCCTCCTTTCTCCTTCCCCTCCTCCCTCCTCCTCCTCCTCCTCCTCCTCCTCCTCCTCCTCTTCCATCTCCACCTCCACGAATGGATACAAAGCCGAAAGCTGTTTGGCTCAGTGGATGCGTTGGCCTGCGGAGTGAAAGGTCCCGGGTTCGACTCCGGTCAAGGACATGTACCTTGGTTGTGGGCACATCCCCAGTAGGGGGTATGCAGGAGG